TGAGCCGACACGGATTGGTATGTATTAATTTTTATTGTTACAATATCCAACCACATACAAACTGTGCGCCATAATTTTTGTCGGTCTTGAAACACAGTTCTTATATGAAGTCGGAATCTATTTGTAATGAATTAAATTGTACACCGAGCTATTTAATATCTTTGATTTTTTTAAGATATTCAATTATTAAATAGCTGATCAACTTAATTTGTTACAAGTGGATTCTGGCTTCACGTAAGAACTGTTTTCAGACCGACAAAAATTGCGACGCTCAGTTTGTATTTGGTTGAATATTGTAACAATAAAAATTAATAGACATCAACATAATTCGTGTCGACTCGCATACATTACTTCAATATATTAAATTTATTTTTACGAGCCTAATTCTTTTAATTTAAATTTGTTGTTATTTCTTTAGGTACATCTCGGTGAAGGAATTTTGTGCTCCAAATATGCTCATGAAGTTCTTAAGACTGTTAAGGAACATTCTGATTGGGCTGTAACTCTCCTTACAGGAGTCTACGATGATAAGGCCCGGAATATGCGGTACGGAAAGCCCCGGAGCTCTCACTTATTGTTAGAATCTTTTTCCTATTCCTTTGTAAATGTTGCAAAATGTATGTATGATGTACATTTTTTGTATTCTATTGGCGTTATGCATATTTTAAATAATTATTTATTTTAATAGTTTATATGTATTGATTTGCAGACCATTACAGAAAATGGCTCGAAAGTTTAACAGTGGGAGATACTGAAGACAGCAAGTACAGTTTTGCCCAAGTGGAGGATTTAGTCAATAGCCTTCCAACATACCTTTCGAAAAGGTGTATAGATATGAATGGGCCTCGTCTAAAAAAGAGTGATATCTTAAATGAACGATTGCAAAGACAGTCTGATCCTAATCGGAAGAAAAGATCTTATCAGAGAAGAGGTTCGACTTTACTGCAACTTCAGCAACTAGTAACAACCCAGTTGGAATTTAATCAACAAGAGTTTAATTCAACAGCAGCAGAACAGTTTAGAACGGTTGAACACACTAGCATTACAGCAGCCTGGTTGTTCAAGCTGGCAGACTCCCTATGTGTATGGACCACAGGGTCCAGCAGCAGTCCCAATTATTCCTAACTCTTCCGCGCAGGAAAATTATGGTAAATATATATTGTGACGTGACGTTTTTTTTGATCATCCGTCACAAGGGTCGCAACACCCGACCGAAGAAGCGCGGTTTCGGATCCTGCGTCCTCCCCGATTTAGGGAGGCGAGCGTATCCGCGCGCATTGCGTTTTCGATCTCATTGCCGCGCGCGTTATGTAACTTTTTCTCTCCTCGTGAGCGTAACCGTAGGAATAGATCGGCGGCATAAGGAAATCGTCTACACCAAGCAGCGAGAGGGAGAGAGACAACGGCCTCGGAACGTCTGGCTCATCGCAGGAGAAACGGAGCACGCAGGTCAGATAATATAGTTCATACGAACGTTAGCTCCATGTTCTCTATTACGAGCTCGTTACTGTCACCGACTAATTTTAGCAATCCGAGAGTAAATACGGAGGCAATGGACTCTCACGATCTGGCCAGGATCGGGTTG